ACTGACCCTCTGACAGTGCCCGCTCCCTCAGCACTGACCCTCCGACAGTGCCCACTCCCTCAGCGCTGACCCTCCGACAGTGCCCACTCCCTCAGCGCTGACCCTCCGACAGTGCCCACTCCCTCAGCACTGACCCTCCGACAGTGTAGACAGGGAGACCCCGTGCCTGATCACGTGTCTAATCCCTTCGTACCTGACTAACGACAGTCACCTCCTGAATATTGTAAGCAAGGTCATTGTCTGACATTGCCCCCACTGTCAGTGTTATTACTGTGCCCAGCTCTGTTCCCTCTGGGACCGAGATTACTGCAGTACCTTCCATCGACTCATTCCTGTCCAGGAACATTCTGAACAAGAGAAGGGCAGAGAGAGAGAGAAGGAGCATTGTGCGCACGGAACTCTTTATAAACTACCACCCAGCTCCTAACTCCAAGTATCCTCCCCAGTCCAGTTGGCCCAACCTTACGGTAGGACAGCAAAGCCAAGTGGATTTTCCAGTATGTTCCCTGGGTAAGGGCTGCTAGTCTCGGTCCATGTGGGGAGAAGCTAGGAGGAGCTGGGACCACCCCACCCCTCTCTCTCGGAGCAGCGAAGGTTAAGGGGGAGATTGCATCCGGCTGTTCAAAATGCCCAGGCTGGGTGGGTGGGTGAGGGAGTAGGTTTTGACTGAGTCAATGAGGGAGAGGCTATCTCCAAACGGGCAGGAGGGGTCAGTCACCCAGAGGGACACAGATTCAGGAGAATCTCAAAAAGACCCAGAGGAGGTGGGGAGGGCAGGAGAATTTGTTCAGCGACGCAGCAAGTTGTTGCTGTAATCTGAGGCGGCACCTGAAAGGGAGAAGGTCCAAAGTTGGGTGGGGGGGCCGCGACTCGGGGAAATGCTGGGCGGGGGACTATTTGCAGAGACTGTGGGGAGCGAGTAAGAGGGAACGTCTGGCCGATTGGAGGGAATCTTTCGGAAAACTAGCACAGGACTCAATGGGCAGAGTGCCCTCCTCCTGTTCCGGGAGTGTCTATGTGATCATTGCCAGTGTTTTGGAGAGGGGTGGATTGAAATAACATTGTCACATGACAGTCTGGTGAGGGCTAGGTCTGATTTCAGAGTGGCCTCAATGAGGGGCTATCTGTGTGAGTCTGAGGGAGGGGGCACTCGGAGGGACGTTACTGAGACTGAAGGGTTTGAGTTACAGGGAGAGGCTGAATTGGCTGGGGCTATTTTCCCTGGAGCGTCGGAGGCTGAGGGGTGACCTTATAGAGGTTTATAAAATCATGAGGGGCATGGATAGGGTAAATAGACAAGGTCTTTTCCCCAGGGTAGGGGAGTCCAAAACTAGAGGGGCATAGGTTTAAGGTGAGAGGGGGAAGATTTAAAAGGGACCTGAGGGGTAACTTTTTCACACAGAGGGTGGTGAGTGTATGGAATGAGCTGCCAGAGGAAGTGGTGGAGGCTGGTACAATTACAACATTTAAAAGGCATCTGGATGGGTACATGGATAGGAAGGGTTTAGAGGGATATGGGCCAAATGCTGGCAAATGGGACTAGATTAATTTAGGATATCTGGTTAGCATGGAGGGGTTGGGCCGAAGGGTCTGTTTCTGTGCTGTACAACCGTATGACTGTCTGTGGGATCTTCCTGTGCATTATGCACAGAGCTTTGGGGGCAGCTTCAGATCACCGTCTCATTCTCCAAAACTCCGAACGATCCAGGTCCCTCGCTGCTCCCTCCCCCCCAAACACTGCCCTCCCCCCAGTACCACCACCCCCAACCCCACTGCCGAGAGAACCATTTCTAAACAGCCTCAGATGCCTGCTCTGTCCCCCCTTAAGGTAGGGGATTGAAACCAGGCAGCGCGCTCCAGGAGCCCTCTCCCCACTGCCCCATACAAGACTTCCCCATTTTTATACCTGATTGACCCCCCACTCTCCCCCTTTCTAACACACTCCGTCTCACTGTCATTTGCTCTTGCACTCTCTCTCTCACTGTCTCACACAATCTCTCCCATGCGATCTCTCACAATCTTTTGGTCTTTCTCACACTCTCTCACTCTTTCTCACACTCGCTCTCAAACACAATTTCTCTTTCTCACTCTCATTCTCTCTCACTCTCTCCCTCTCTCCCTCACACACACTCTCCCTCTCTCTCACGCACACTCCCCTTCTCTCTCACACACTCTCTCCCTCTCTCTCACACACACTCCCCCTCTCCCTCACACACACTCTCCCTCTCTCTCACACACACTCTCCCTCTCTCTCACACACACTCTCCCTCTCTCTTTCACACACACTCTCCATCTCTCTCTCACACACATTCTCCCCCTCTCTCACATACTCTCCCCCTCTCTCTCTCACAAACTCTCTCACACACACTCTCCCTCTCTCACATACACTCTCCATCTCTCTCTCACACACTTTCCTTCTCTCTCACACACACTCTCCACCTCTCTCTCACACACTCTTCCCCTCTCTCACACCCACACTCTCCCACTCTCTCACATACACACCACCCCCTCTCTCTCACACACACTCTCCCCCTGTCTCACACCCACACTCTCCCATTCTCTCACATACACACCAGCCCTCTCTCACACACACTCTCTGTCTCTCTCTCACACACTCTCCCCCTCTCTCATATATCTTCTGTCACAATCACTCTCTCTCACTCTCTCACACAATCTGACACACACACACACTCTCTCTCAATTTTACTCCCTCTCTCAAACTGTTTCTCTCAGTCTTTCTCACACAATTTCTATCAGTCTATCACTCTATCTCGCACTCATGCTCTGTCTCTCTATAACACACATTCTCTCTCACACAGTCTCTCTCACTTTCTCTCTCTCACACACACACACACACTGTCTTTCACTCCTGCACTCCCTCTCTCACTCATTCCCTCCCAATCTCCCTCACACTCTCTCTCACTCTGTCTTGTAGTTTCTCCATCACTCTCTCTCACACACTCTCTTTCTTACACATTCTGCCTCACTGTCTTTTCACATTTTCACTTTCTCGCTCTCATACTCACATTCTCTCTCAATCTCAGTCTCTCTCTCACACACAATCTCTCTCGTGCACTCTCTCACACCTCTCTCTCACACACATGCACATTCTCTCACACACACGCTCTCTCACACAGACACTCTCTCTCTCACACGCACACACTCTCTCTCACACACTCTCCCACACTCTCTCTTTCTCACACACACACTCTCTCACACACGCACTCTTTCTCTCACACACACACTCTCTCTCTCACACACTCTCACACACACACACTCTCTCTTTCACACTCTCTCTCTCACACACACTCTCTCTTTCACACTCTCTCTCTCACACACACACACACACACTCTCTCTCACACACGCACTCTCTCTTTCACATTCTCTCTCACACACACTCTCTCTCACACACACACACACACACACACACTCTCACACACACTCTCTCTCTCACACACTCACACACTCACACACACACACACACACTCACACACACACACACACTCTCACACACATACTCTCTCTATTTAAATAATTCGCTGCTTTCTGATCCTCTGTGCCCAATCTCACACCTTCCCACGTTATTTTGAAATTTGTGTCACTGGATCTGTGTTCCTTTGCCTGTTCACTAACCCGAGGTCCCTGAGCAGACTGCTGTGCCCCCCGGTCCCTCAGTGGGTTTGCCTCTGCCCTCCCCACAGCTGGCCTATAACTGCACAGCGATCCCACTATTGCCCCTCACCTCTGGGGAGCGAACTGAATCAGATTGTGGTTGTCTATGACATAGATGGTATAGCTGACCAGAGCTCCAGTGTTCGAGATGGTGAACGAGATATTCCCACGGGATCCGACCTTGACAGACGGCTCAGCACTGACCTACAGCACGAAGCAGAGAAACATCGGCAATAGGAGCAGACCATTCAGTCCCTCAGTGGGATAGCATCTGATCATCCAACTCTGTCCCTCATACCCTGGAACCACATCCCACTCGCTCTTGCAGAGATGGAAAATGGCATCGTCCAAGTGTGTCTCTTTCCCATCTACACTCCCCACCCCCACCAACACCCCAGCCCCCACACCCCTCCCACCACCACCCCTCCCACCAAAACCGAGAATCGGATACGATCACTGCCGTCCAAGTGGGGGCAGACATGGAGCTATCAGAGATCAGCTGGATTCGGCTAAAGTGTGTGAGACAGAGAGTGAGAGAGTGAGAGAGAGAGAGAGAGTGAGAGAGTGAGTGTGAGGGAGTCTGCGAGGGAGAGAAAGAGTGAAATGGAGAGAATGAGTGTGAGTGAGCGTGGGAGAGAGAATGAGAGTGAGACAGAGAAAGTGAGTGAGAACAAGAATGAGAGAGAAAGTAAGTGAGAAAGAGTGTGAGAGTAAGAGTGAGAGAGTGAGTAGAGAGAGAGACAGAGAAAGAGCGTGTGAGAATGAGAGGGAGTGAGCATGAGTGAGAGTAAGAGAGTGACAGTGAGAGAGTGAGTGAGAGAGAGAGAGAATTGGAGAGTGAGAGAGGGAGAGACTGAGACAGAGATATCAGAGAGTGTGCAAGTGATTGAAAGTGAGTCACAGTGAGAGAGTAAGTGTGAGGGAAAGTATGTGAGAGAGAGAATGAGAGTGACACAGAGAAAGTAAGTGAGAGAGAGTGAGAGTGTGAGAGTGAGAGAGTGAGACAGGGAGTGTGAGAGAATGTGAGAGAGAGTGTGAGAGTGAGTGAAAGTGAGTGAGAGTGAGACAGAGTGAGAGAGAGTGTGAAAGAATGTGAGAGTCAGTGAGACAGAGTGAGAGAGAGTAAAACAACTGGACAAGGCAATGTTGGAGGTACATGGAGAGATGGTCTTTGTTGTGCGAGGTTTGGATGGTGAACTTGTATAAGAGCCTTGTTATTCCTCAGCTGGAGTATTGTGTCCAGTTGTGGGCCCCACATTATAGGGAAGATGGGAATGTGTTAGAGAGAGAGAGAGAGTGTGGGAGTGATTTACAAGAATGGTTCCAAGGATGAGAAAGCTCCGTGCTGAGGACAGATTGAAGCAGTTGGGGACGGTTCCCCCTTGGAGAGGAGAAGGCTGAGGGACAGGGAGATTCAATCGGTGGGGCGGGGGCTGGACAGAGTCGATCGGGAGAAGCTGCTCCCGCTGGGAAAAGGAACAATAGCGAGAGAGGGGAGAAGATTTAAAGTGACTTGCAAACGGAGCGAGGGGGATGTGAGAGTAAACACCATGTTTCCCCCTCTCCCCCCAGCGAGTGGTTAGGGGGTGGGATATACTGCCTGGAAATGTTGGGGGCGGGGGGCAGGTTCAATTGGAGCATCAGGGAGTGGCATTGGATGGGGATTGGGATTGAAATGGGGGGCAGGGAGTTGGGGGTGAAGGGAGGAGATTGGGGGATAGAACCATTGCGTGGGGATTGGGATAGAAATGGGGGGCAGGGAGGTGGGGGGGAAAGGGAAGAGATTCAGGGATAGAATCAGAGCAGATACTAAGTTTGTAATCTTGAACTTGCTTCAAACTCTGTCCAAGCTCACAGTGTCAAGAAGTCTTTGGCCAGAAACCTTGTCAAACATCAGCCTTAATAGGGAACAGATACAGTCTGCACAGTGGCCCAGAGTCCTCAGTAATGATGCCTGGCAAACAATGTTGAACTGTATTGACTGCAACAGGAGACTAATTTCTGTGCGAGACGGTTGCCTCTTCTGTCGGTGTATCATCCAATCATGGATTAGACAGACCTGAGCCTAAGCAGAGGTAAAGGTGGATCCATTCCATTAAGTAACCCGAGCCCAGGAACACTTCCCATCAGTTAGCACAGGATTTCAATGTGTCAGGTTCACTCTGTATCTAACCCCGTGCTGTCCCTGTCCCTGGGAATGTTTAATAGGGGGACAGTGTAGAGGGAGCTTTACTCTGTGTATCTAACCCTGTGCTGCCCCTGTCCTGGGAGTGTTTGATGGGGGGACAGTGTAGAGGGAGCTTTACTCTGTGTCTAACCCCGTGCTGTCCCTGTCCCTGGTGATTGGCTGTAAGTTTACCTTCACCACGGTGTTGGTGACTGTGGTAAGGGTTGGCGATTGGCGTTTGAAGACCAAGTTGTTCTCGCGATGCCCATTCAGTTGGACATGGAAGGTGCTGCCTGGCAGTGTTGGGAATTTCACCAGGTAGGAGCCATCGCTGCTCTCGTTCCCCAAAGGCTCCTTCAGTAGGACTTCACCCCAAGTGCTGACCAGAGCCACCTCCTGGATCCCAAGGCCAGGGTACTGAGCCAAGCCTGGCACTGTGACAGACATCACACTCTCTTTACCTGCAGGGCAAGGCATCGCAAGGTCATGGACCTCCTGTGACCTCCCGTGACCCCATTACCGCCCCCTGCCTGCTCCCCCAAATCCTCACTGCCCCCCCCCCCCCCCCCCCGCCTCGCGTTGCGCAGTTGACCCCTCGCTGACCATCAGGTTGAGGCTCCAGCTCCTCTCTCTCTCTCTCCCTCATCAGGACCCAAGCAAGAATTCCAAACTGTTACTGTGGAAGCAGTAACGCCATCAACCCACCATCAACACCACACCCCCCCACCCCCCGCCCCCCCCCGCCTCATCCACCAACCCCTTCCCCCGAAGTCACCCTTCAACCCAACGACTGGTCAGGGATTTCCCCCCGCCCACCCTGCTGCTCCATTCCCAAACCCCTGCTCCCTAAGGAGGCGATGGCCTAGTGGTATTATCGCTGCATTGTTAGCCCAGAGACCCAGGTAATGTTCTGGGGACCTGGGTTCGAATCCCGCCATGGCAGGTGGTGGAATTTGAATTCGATAAGTATCTGGAATTAAGAGTCGAGTGATGACCGTGAATCCATCGCCGATTGTCGGAAAAACCCATCTGGTTCACTAATGTCCTTTAGGGAAGGAAACCACATATCCTTACCTGGTCTGGCCTATATGTGACTCCAGACCCACAGCAATGTGGTTGACTCTTAACTGCCCTCTGGGCAATTAGGGATGGGGTAATAAATGCTGCCTAGCCAGCGACACCCTCATCGCATGAATGAATGAAGGAAGGATTGGTAGCTGTACTGAGAGACTAGCCTATCCTTCCCCTACGGGTGATTTCAAGAGGGTGTTGGGATTGCAAATTGAACCTGGAATGGGGGAGACAGCAGGAGGTTGGCGCTCAGTAACGATGCTCATTGGACAGGCTAGTGTAGAGTAGATGTCAAGTGTTATTGGAGCTGCCCCCATCCAGGACAAAGCAGCCCCCCCTTGATTGGGCCTACATCCACAAACAACACACTCCCTCCCCCACCGACGCTCAGTCACAGCAGTGTGTACCATCTACAAGATGCACTGCAGAAACTCACCAAAGATCCTCAGGCAGCACCTTCCAAACCCACGGCCACTTCCATCCAGAAGGACAAGGGGCAGCAGATACATGGGAACACCACCCCGTGCAAGTTCCCCTCCGAGCCCCTCCCCATCCTGACTTGGGAAATATATCGCCGTTCCTTCAGTGTCGCTGGGTCAGAATCCGGGAATTCCCTCCCTCAGGGGCATTGTGGGTCTACCCTACAGCACATGGACTGCAGCGGTTCATGGAGGCAGCTCAGCCCCACCTTCTCAAGGGGGGCAACTAAAAGGATGGGGTAACAAATGCTGGGTCCAGCTGGCAAAGATAGACATTGAGGAAAGCAGCAGAGAGAAGCTTTTCAGGTGATAATTGAGACTGGGCGTGGAGAGCAGATTGGGACACCACTCGATGCTGGAGTCAGATACCTCACTCTAAAGTTTAGGAGGAGGGAACGGGGAGGGAGTTCATTCTGAAGAATGAAAGATGGTGCAATTGTTTACCTGCCATAGGACGTCCAGGCAACAGCGTGAAACCAGGGTGGGGGCCTTGGAATGGCTGAACGAAATCGTACAGGAAATTCACAACACTCTGGCCTGCAGAGTGGGAACAGCAATCAGTACAGCAGCTGAGTGTGAGACATTTCAGTCCCACTTTTACAATCCCACTGCATTCCCTGCCCCGTTCAGAGTTATGACCACATGGCATAGGAGCAGACATTAGGCCATTCAGCCCATCGAGTCTGTTCCACCATTCAATCATGGCTGATGAGTTCCTCA